ATTTAAATTTTATCCTGTTCCAGCCCCACTTTCCCTAAGTGTTTATTGATTTTTTGAGATGAGACCTCACTCTGTTGCCCAGGCTAGAGTGCAGTGGTGTGATCTTGGCTCACTGCAACCTCTGCCTCCTGGGCTCAAGTGATCCTCCTGCTTTAGCCTCACAAGTACTGGGATTACAGGCATGTGTCACCACACACAGAACATTTTTGTATTTTTAGTAGGGATGGGGTTTGAACTCCATGTTGCCCAGGCTGGTCTTGAACTTCTGGACTCAGGCAATTCACCTGCCTCCCCAAATGCTGAGATTACAGGTGTGAGACACCACAGCAGGCTTTTTTTTTTTTTTTCTTTTTTTAAATACTCATTAAAGCAGGATTTGAAAGCAAAGCAAGCTTTTTTTTTTTTTTTCTTGAAGAGGACTTTATCTGACATCCTTTAATTTGTTTTATTTTCTTCAAATTGTATTTTCATTTCCTTCTAATTCTACTTAAATCTGAATTTCTTTAGTACTCACATTAACAGGGACAAAAGCCATGTTGGATCTAGCAGGAGAATTAATTATTGAAGCATAAAAGGGCAAAATTGTCTACTCTTATAATTCTCTGAACCCTACTCTTTAGTAATGACCCCTTTGTGCAGATATTTCCAACCTTCTCCATGGGAAAGAAGCAGATAACATTTCATCTGTGGTGAATGTAACGCTCTTGTTTTTAGTGGAATATTTTCAGTTCTCCTTCATAGCAACTCATTTTCTCTGTCCAGTTTATTTATATCACTTTTGTTCTTCCAGTATTTATGCCAATAACCTATCCTGTAATCCTTGAAATGTACATTTTTCTACTTCTGGATCCTGCTAGGTTCTTTCAACTTATACTTAGAAATATATATGCTTATATTTGTGATATGTTATAAACATACACAAAAGTATAAAAATGAGATACCCATATAATAATTTAATATCAACAGTTTGCCTTGTTTTTCTCTCTTGTTTTTTTAAATTAAACTTTTAAGTTCTGGGGTACGTGTTTGCAGATCATGCAGGATTGTTACATAGGTATACACATGCCATGGTGGTTTGCTGCATCCATCCCCCCATCATCTACATTAGGTATTTCTCCTAATGTTAGTCCTCTCCAATCCCCTACCCCCTGCTATCCCTCCCCTAGATCCCCACCCCCAACAGGCCCCAGCATGTCATGTTCCTCTCCCTGTGTCCATGTGTTCTCATTGTTCAACACCCACTTATTAGTGAGAACATGTGGTGTTTGGTTTTCTATTCTTGTGTCAGTTTGCTGAGAATGATGGTTTCCAGCTTCATCCATGTCCCTGCAAATGACATGAACTCATCCTTTTTTATGGCTGCATAGTTTTTCTTTTTGAAAGAAAGAAAATGTTGACGATAGCCCTGTTGCAGTCCAGTTCTATTTCATTTCCTTCTATCCCGCCCAGAAGTAAACAGTATCCTATTTATATCTCCTCTGTAAGATTCTATAATCTGACTTCATAGTTACATGTAGCTACTGCACTACATAGGATTGTTGTGTGGGTTTGGAATTATTGTCTCTGAGTCTGCATCCCTTGTGCAGTATCCATCTTTTCTTGTCAACCTTGTTTCTTCCCTCCATAGCCCTCTGTGGACAAGGAGGCTAGAGGAAGCTTGTGCAGAAGACACCCTGACCTTTTCTGCCTCGTTCTTTCTTCTAGAGCTTTTCTTCTGTTGTACTGTGTCTGTTGTCATGTGTACCACACCATCTGATGCTACTTCCACTCTCTTTTTCTTCCTTTCTTCTTGGTACCCCAGTGTTAAATCACTTTAATTTCTATTTTTGGCTTTAGGATTAATACAAGCTGAGTTTTTCTCTGCCATTACTTTGGAACAGGTAAAATGATGTTACTGACAATCCAGGAAAGAAATGTAGTCTAATGACTTTCAATTATAGAAACATGCCTGAGGGAAGAAGGGGCAGAGTGAAATGACTTGGAGGATCTGACACTTTACAGTCTCAGATATGAATTACCTGTGATTTTCATGTTTGTTGTTTAAGTGTAGTGCTAAAGGCGTTTGCCAATAGGTTAATAGTGATCTTTCACAAAATTAGTTTGCTCAACAAAATTCTATTTATCCTTCTAGAAAGTGGTAAGATCGCATTTTATACAAACCAGAGATTTTTACATTTCCCTTTAAATTATCCATAGCAAAGTTTATTGTAGAGAAACTTTTTCTTCTTTGATTTAAAGTACATTATTTTCTTGTCATGTGCAAGACACACTGAGAGGGATTGGAGCTGTGCCCTTTGGGGATCTACCAAATGATTATGACAAGTATTTCGGGCTCAAAAAAGTTTATGGTCTTAAGTTGGAAAACAGATTACTTATTCAAATGTTATTAGGGAGAATATTTATTCAGCTACTACTAGGGCAAACATCTAGGGCGGGAGTGGAAGGGGAGGAGAGAAGTGTTTTATTGTTGAACATGCATATGTATTTAAGGGACTATGTAAGGGACTGTTGGCATCTGATTGACATTCAGAATTCTTGAGTGTATGTTTTTGCAGTGTTTAAGAGAAAGAATTTAGATACAAACTATAGTCCAACTGTCAGAAATTTTAGTTCTATTTCATCACAGGTACCTTTCATTTTTCCAATAGATGTCTCTACATTACACATTCCATTATCTTTTCCTGACCTCCCAAATCCAAATAAACGTTAAGGAGCTAAGAGTAAGAATGGAATGGAATTGCCTAAAATCTTTGTCAGCTGTGGTCAGATTACACCTTTGGCCTTTCTAAATGCACTTCTGTGTGGATTGTTTTAAGAATCTTCTTGATTTTCTTTCCTAGTCTGTGTTCTGGAATGTAGTTGAGGTCTTTAACCATCTTCTTTTCATCTGCAAACCCCCATGTTTGTTTTCTCTGCATGGGACCCAGGACTTCTTACCTGGGGCCACCACCATCTTCCTGATGATTAAAAATTAAAATTAGAACATGCTGGCAACACATTAATGAAATCCTTACTCTGTGCTCTCATGAGAGGTATCAGCAGGTGAAGTAGGAGGAGAGTGTGCTTTATAACTGGAAGCAGAGCTTTTGTAGCATCTGTTAAATCTGACCCGTTTCCAGTTTACCACTAAGTCTCTTATCAGCATACTTCCCCCACCCCACTGTCATTTATCATTTATACATACAGACAAATGTCAGTTTTCTATTATGCCAGTAAATGCTGAGAATTAAAATTTTAACTTCTTTTTCCAGTTTTAGAAAAGAGCCCAGAATACTGGGACCTGTGTTTGCATATAAGGAATACTAGCTGTTTTGTTTTTAAATTACATTTTAACTTTTTTTTTTAAACATCTTAGCTTTTATTTAGGGAAACAGGCTAGTTATTATTGCATCTAGAAAACCATGAGGGGCCTAATGAGTACACTGATGACGTATCTGTTGAAATAATTAAGAATTTTAGCTGGAAGTGTGTTTAAAAGGTTCTAAAATGAAGCTTTATATTTTAGTAAATGTAAAAATTTTGAGATATACAGAGGGACACCTGAGACACATAAAATTTTCTCAAATGACAAAAAAAAAAAAAAAAAACCGACACATATTTCATTTTGGAGAAGTGGTCAAGGCAATGAGATCAAACCCAAAGATTTTTTATTTTTTGTGGTTTCCTGAAGCCGCTAGTGTTTTGCTAAGTTTGGTACCGATTGTCTGTGACAGCAAGATAAGCGTGATATTCAGTAAATGAATCTGTTTTCCGGGTTGAGGAGAAATAGCATGTAAATACTTAGAGTCAATAAAGTGTAATGAAAAGAAAAAGCAAAAAAAGTTCTTGGGAATCAGGAGGTAGAAAGATTTATCCAAGGTTTTCCACAAAGTTCAGTTTAATAATGAGTTTCTGTACCTTTTCTGTTTTATAGTGTACCTTATTTGGTTATAGTCTGTTCATGTGTCAGAACTAGGGTTTGTTACTTTTCTACTTAGTTCCTTTACTCTCTGATGACGTACAGTGCTAATATGTACCTAGCACCGTGTTGGCAGGGCTTGCGCATGTCGACTCATGTAATCATCAGTCTAGTCATTCAGCACCCTTAGAACGTGGGCTGGAACTGTGGCTCCAGCTCACTGCACTGAGGCAGTGGTGCCCAAGGGCCAGTCTGCAGGTTGCTGTCCCTCCGTCATTAATTTTTTTGCAGTCTATGGGAAGGAATAGTAAATGGGCCATGGTGTAAAATTTTCATAAAGCTAAAGATGTGGTATTCCGTTATTGCTTTCTTGTGTTTTTTTTTTTTTTTTTTTTTTTTTTTAAATTAATGCTATTTGGTTCATGAAGCAATAGTGATAGTAGGAAGCGTTTCTATGTACCCCACCTTGTCAGCGTGAAGCAATTGCATGTCTTTGTTGGTTCTCTCCTTCTCCCCTTTTTCCACTTGTTTGTGGATCTAAGAGCTTTACAACACCTGGCTTAAAGAATACTGTTGCACACGAAATTGGCATCTGTGCATGCTCATTTTAAGAGTGAAGTTTTTAAAATATGAAGGGAAGGAAGAGGTTTTTTTTTTTTTTAGGCATTTAATAGGTAATCAGCAGTTGTTTAGGGTATACATTTGCTCTATTGCTAATACAATTTTAAATGCTGCAGCTTCATTCTGACTGAGTTTCATCTTCGTTGGTTTCCTTCTAACTGTTTTTTTTTAAGAGATGGCATCTCACTATGTTGCCCAGGCAGGCCTTGAACCCCGCGGCTCAGGCTGTCCTCTCACCTCAGCCTCCTGAGTAGCTGGGACTGCAGGTGTGCACCACTGCACCAGCTTGCCTGTCATTGGGTTTTAACCTGTAAATCTTTAATACAGCTTTTGGCAAGAAATGTTCCTCCAGAGAATGTTTTTATTCCCTGGAAGGTTTTCCTTTCCCACCTTTCACTAACTAAAGCCGTTAAGAATCACCTGGATTCATTTTTGATGGTCCCCTTCAGTGCTGATAATGCTTTGCTTGACTTTTCCTTAGTGATACAAATGAAGTTGACATACCACCCAACACTCGAGTTGGCACCAAACGCTACATGCCTCCAGAAGTGTTGGACGAGAGCTTGAACAGAAATCACTTCCAGTCTTACATCATGGCTGACATGTATAGTTTTGGCCTCATCCTTTGGGAGGTTGCTAGGAGATGTGTATCAGGAGGTAAGAAACAGTGCTGTCTTTGAAAAGCTACTTTTGGAGCTACTGTAAATCCTTTCTGATCAGAAATCAAAGTTACCATACTGTCTGTAAGATCTGTTTTTATTTTCCTTTTTCTGCTGATGCAGTCATAATGCTTTCAGGAAATTATATTTGATATCCTAGAATAATCTTTGACTGCTTCCTCTCTCCACCTGCCACTAGACACACTGTCAGCTTCCCCTTCCTTTTCAAGCATCACTGTTTTCTGCTCTGTGTATTGTCTCATTTCTCTCTTGGGTTCTTCCGCCAGCAGTTGCTCCATCAGATCAAACTCCCTTGTCTATCCCTGCCAGTTTCTTTTCACCTAGCCACTGGGCCCCATCCCCAACTCCATTCCCTGGGATTTCCTCTGCAGAGGTGACAGTAATACATAAATGTGGGGTAGGACACCCATTTCTTACCTTCTCTATTTATTTTTTATAAAACTTCCCCATAAAGCAATTTGAAAACATCAGTTTTTTTTTATCAAAAAGAAATTAAAGTATCAGTGTATTGTTATTGTTTATGATAATTTTTTCTACAAACATAAGGATTCTCTAGTAAAACCAATTATAATAAACAAGAAGACATATTTAAATATTCAGAAGTAATATTGCTTGTACTATTTTGGTTGCTGCACAATCTGTCTTCAAGTAAATTCTGACACCTCTTAGGCAAGGCGCTGAATCTTCGTCTTTTCCGTATCAAGTGCTCTGCATATTATTTCAGCATGGTTGTTCTCATTAAAAAGCTTTGATGTTGCTGCTTTTCCTCATAGGGGCCAATTTAAATCCATCCTCATGAAAACATGAGTTAGCTGAAGATTCTGAAAGTGAAGCATGCACTTAACTAGTACTGAGATTTGTTCTTGTCCCTGCTGTTTATGTGATGCCTTGGACAAGCATCACATAAACTTGTCTTTGTTTCAGAGTTCTCCTCTTAAGGGTCAAGTGAATTATTTTATCACTTCTGTGGTTGTATGGTTTCAATGAATGTAAAGATAATGAGACCTGCCTCGCACATAATTAGCACTCAGTACGTGTTAGCTATTATTACTATTAATAATTTTCATTTTGGTTGGTAGAGCCATAACATCTTTAGGTTTGTATTTAAATACAAACAAGAAACAGCTAATCAATCCACATTCACACTTTGATAGAAAGATCATCTTCAGTGACACAATGCCTTCTAATCATCACCTTGGGAATTCTGAATCTGTTATAAGAAATTTGAAATAGAACCCATTCTCTCATTCTCTCTGAAGTGAGAGAACTATATTGTCCAAAAGGAAAGTTAATGCAGGAAATTTTCTCTAACCAGATATTGAGTAAATTTCCTATTGTAAGTATAAAGTAGTAGTAACCAAAAAATTAACAAATTGTCTATGCCTTGATTTCATGTCTTATAAAGAGCAGTAAGGCTCATGTTTGCAATCCCAGCATTTTGGAAGGCCAAGCAGGGAGGGTCACTTGAAGCCAGGAGTTGAGGGACTAGCCTGGCAATAAAGTGGGACCTGGTCTGTTTCTCTATTTAAAAAATAAGTAGATGAGCTTTAAAAAAAAAATAATATGTTTATACTTAATTAAGATAGCTTTGTGGAAGTTGAAAGTGTAGAGAACAAGATTATTTTGTTTTCTTGAACATCTAAAACAAACAGGGCTACAAGAAGCCTATATTTGAAAGCCTATGGGCCAAATACAGGAGAAATTATTCTCATCTTAAAAACAAGGTAGCTTTATGTAAACAACAGGGTATTAATTTGCGTTTGCTTTGCTGGCGCTGTCTTGATTTCGACACGGAGATTTGCTATAATGTTGCCTTATTTTTAGAGCTGTTGGAATCCCTGCTCTGCCCCATACCAACTGAATGGCCTTGGGCAAGTTACTTAACCCCTTAGAGCCAAGTTTACTCTTCTGAATAGCGTAGAGAATAATGTTATCCATAAACGCATTTGTGAGAATTTAATAAGATAAATTATATAGCATACCTAGTTCCATAATTGGGATATAGCAGGCTTTCAAGACGTGATTTTATTTTCTTTTTCCAGAGAGGCAAAGCATACAGCATTCTATTTTCTAACATTTTATGAAGATATTAGAAGTTTTTTGGGGGCTTTCTAGTCCAGGCACCATTGGGTAAAAGAGACACATTCAGATGTATGCTTTTCCATCTTTTAAAGGAGAAGACAGATAGAAAGGTTTGAGGTTTCAAACATAGAATTAAATGGTAGCTAACAGGAAATTTTGAAAATTTTGATTACATGGTATGGAGAAAGGAATAAGACCTATAATTCAACAGTTAGATTTGAATAATTCATAATTTTAAGTGGTGGGCTCTGGCTTTGTCTGCTGTAGTATACACACCTACCCCACCCCATCTATTAGTCTATCCACCAGAGCAGGCGTCCCCAAACTTTTTACACAGGGGGCCAGTTCACTGTCCCTCAGACGGTTGGAGGGCCACCACATACTGTGCTCCTCTCACTGACCACCAATGAAAGAGGTGCCCCTTCCTGAAGTGCGGCGGGGGACCGGATAAATGGCCTCAGGGGGCCGCATGCCGCCCGCAGGCTGTAGTTTGGGGACGCCTGCACCAGAGGAAGATATGAGAGGGGTTAGACAGATGTGGGCCTTGCCTTCAGGCTGTTTCCAGGGACATGGTCCTGAGAATTAGAAGGGGAGAAGGAACTGAAATGAAGCAGAGCACATCCTGCGTGTTAGGCCCTGCACTTTTCTTATCTCATATAGAGTTAAAACACAATGGAAGGAAATGCCAACGTAGATAATATATATCATTAAGTTCTGTGTTCACAGCAGAAGACAGGACAAATGGTGAGTTGGAATGGTCTGAGAAAACTTTTGAACTTTCTGATGGTTGATGATTTTATATGGATTTGAGTTTACAAGAAAAGACAAAACACAGACCCCAGATTTTGGCAGAGTAAGCTCCCAGTGAATTTAATGATGTGGTATATAATCTGCCACCTCGATGGCATCATCATTTTCAGGTGAAAAGCAATGACATTCCTGTAAAAGATGATTTAGGATAGGGAATAGGGGTGCTCCCAAAAGATTGTTCAGAGCAGCAGCCTCTAATGTAATTATTATGAGGAGTTAATCTGAGAAGGTGAAAAAGAAGACACTAGAAGCCTGCATTTTTAAAGAAGAGGAAAAAGGTAGAAATGAAATACTAGGAATGATAAAATGAAATAAGAGTTTAGTGTGCATTTTTATGAAGATGCCATAGATTTGTATTTCTTAACGCTTCTTTTAACAATAAATATTTTTTCTAAGAGTAATGTATTCCTTATTGAAAATTTGGATAAATATAGAAAAAAAAGCAGATAATCCTTGGACCTAAAAAAATTTATAGTTAATATTTTTGGGTGTCTATATATTTTCTGAATTTGTAATGTGCAAAACACGTTCCTATAATTAAGCAGAAAAAATGTAAACCTAGCATTTTGTTCAAGTAGGATACACTTCCAAATTTATTATGATGTTCATAGTTTCATACTATAGTAATAGAAACAGTCACATGTGCAGTATGAGTTCAGGATGTGTCTTGCAAATTTGCGTTGAGATTTAATATAGATTTGTCTTCTAATTTGCTCTTTGTAAAATTGGAAATAAGTTTAAGATGCTTGTTTTCCTTAGCTTTTGGAAATTAGGAGAAAAAGGCTTAAAGACCTTTGATAATATTTTTCACTGGGCTTTGTATTCATTTTTTCTAAATTAGATTAAGCAGCATTTGAGTAAATATTTTCAAGATTTATTTTGCTATTTTTCTGCCTTACCTTCTCTGCAATACTGATGGCACTTTTCCTTTGAGAACAGTTTGTGTGTTAGACTTTTATTTCTACTTTGCAGAAAATAATAATAACATATTTTTAGGTATAGTGGAAGAATACCAGCTTCCTTATCATGACCTAGTGCCCAGTGACCCCTCCTACGAGGACATGAGAGAGATTGTGTGCATCAAGAAGTTACGTCCCTCATTCCCAAACCGGTGGAGCAGCGACGAGGTAAGGCCTGAGGTAACCGTGTGGCTATGACCAGCTTCTGAATTGACTTTTCTCTTTTCGCCAGAATTCTGCATATTCATTATAGAAATTCTTCTTTGTTTGATGGTGATGGTGCCTCATTGCAGTAGCTTATATGAAGATAAGTGTAGTATATTAAATTACTTTGTTCCCCTTTTCCAATTTTATTTTGCCACTTCCAGAATATATTGAGTGGGTCAGCGTTTAGCCTGCATAACAAATAATATTATTTTCTTTTTTTATGTCTTGACATTTGCATAAAACCTATTATTTCTCTGTGTTTTTTTAAAGCATCATGATTTTTCTCTGTAGCAAACTCATGTACAGCGTACTCCCATTTTGATTGGAGAAAAAAGGAGGCATGTTAAAGGGATACAAGTTGACCTAGTTAAGATGCCTGACAGTGGTGGGTGTCTTTGTTAATAAGGATGATGAGATGTGACCTGAAGAAATCCACCTTCAGCTTGACTCTAAGAATGTAGTGTTGTAACCTACGTAGGTCTGGAAAGGTGCTGCTAGGAAGGAGGAAATGGGTCTTGCTTTTCCTAACTCCTCCTCCTGTTCCACATTTCTCTCCTTCCACCCTCCCAGCCTTCAAACTCACCATGTTCTAGAGTTCTCTCATGGACTGGAATATTCAAGATGAGTTTGAAGCACCACTGGGGGCCAAAAATAGGCGCTTATCAAACATATACCAAAGCACTGCAAAGGAGGGACAGAGCACTATTTCTTAAGTGTAAAAACCATTTGAAAATCTCTGGGCCAGGTGTGGTGCTCATACCTATAATCCCAGCACTTTGGCAGGCCAAGATAGGTGGATCACTTGAGTCCAGAAGTTCAAGACTAGCCTGGCCAATATAGTGAAAACCCGTATCTATTAAAAATACAAAAAATAGCCAGGTGTGGTGGTACACCCCTGTATTCCCACCTGCATTGGAGATTGATGCACAAGAATTGCTTGAACCTGGAAGGCGGAGGTTGCAATGACCCTAGATCATGCCACTGCACTCCAGCCTGTGTGACAGAGCTAGATGCTGTCTCAAAACAGATAACAACAATAAAAACACCCTTGGTTCATTGGTTTTGTGTCTAGTTACTAAAATGCTGAATAATGTATATGTTTTCCAGTGAGCTATGCAGAAAGCTTTAGGAGATGCTGGAGCCCTGTTATTGTAGACATTTGGTGTTTCTTGAAGTCTCTTTGCTGAGGATTTCTTATGAAGTGAAATTGTACTTTTCAATAGGAAGACCAATAATTGATGTACCACAGGAGAAAGTTTTAGCGATGCTGTGCACAGGTCATTAATCTTGTTAAATGGTGCAGTGTGATGCTATTATTACAGCAGACAGCTGTGATTTAGGAATAACTGTGTTTGTTTGCATAGTATGGAATTAGATAAAAGATTTAAACTTATCAAGTGTTGTAAACAATCTGGGAGTATAGAGTGGAATACAGACTCCCTGGGTATTTTTATGTTTGCTTAACACTAACTTCAAAGACATCCTTCTACAATCAGCAAAACCACCTGCTTGCTTCTGTCACAGAGAAGACATGAACATCTGTTTTAGTCATATATAATTTTGCATGAAAAAAACGTATGGAATTTTATTTCTACATGGTTTTAAAGGTACGTTTAAAAAATATATTCAAACTTAATGAACCTAAAACTAAAAAGCTACATTGTGTCAGGTGCCAGCCTTGCAGATGATATATTTTTCTAACATTACTCCAATTTGCTTTTCTCTTCCTTAGTGTCTCAGGCAGATGGGGAAACTCATGACAGAATGCTGGGCTCACAATCCTGCATCAAGGCTGACAGCCCTGCGTGTTAAGAAAACACTTGCCAAAATGTCAGAGTCCCAGGACATTAAACTCTGATACGAGAGGAAAAGTAAGCATCTCTGCAGAAAGCCAATAGGTACACTTCTGTTTGTGTGCAGAGCAAAAGATATCAAATAAGCATCCACAGTACAAGCCTTGAACATCATCCTGCTTCCCAGTGGGTTCCAACCTCACCTCTCAGGGAGCAACCTGGACAAAGACAGAGAAGCTCCCAGAGGCAGATTGATCTGTGTCTGTTTGTAGGAGGGAGAAACCGCTTGGGTAACTTGTTCAAGATATGATGCATGTTGCTTTCTAAGAAAGCCCTGTATTTTGGGATTGCCTTTTTTTTTTTTTTTTTAAAGATGCTTTAATTTTGCCAAAATAAAACAAATAATGTGGATGGCTTAAGGTTTATAGTATTATAGTTTAAATAACAACAAGAAAAGTTCTTCCCAGAACTCTGCTGGAAGGTAAATTAAAACACATGTCTTTCCATTGGTAAAATATTGTTGCACTCTGTGAACCAAAAGACAGTCTAAGTTGGAGATCGTAGAATGGAACTCATCTTAAACACGCTCCCAACCCCGCCTGGGCCTCCTCCGACCACTTTGGCCATCCCTGAATTTTGGCCCACTACGGTAATGTGAATTCACTGGGTACAAACACCACCTGTCTAGGACCACACTTGGAATTCCTGCAGTTTGCCTTTTACAGCTCTTCAGGCAATATGGAACAAATGAAGGTTTATGTGACTCTCATAGGAGTAATTGTTGATAGGTGTTCTTCAGAACCACTTCATATTTCTAATTGTGTTAGGCATCGCTTTTGTGATAAAAATCCTTTTCAAAGAAAGTTTTTTTAATGTACACAGGATAGACCTTTGCATGCTTTTGATCTCTCCATCAAAGGATCAATATTAAATAAAATTGTCATGAGTTGTATTGAAGACAGGGTGCTTTAAAATAGAGGTAATTTGCTCTTGTGTTGTACAAGGAACCTGTCAACAAAGGTAGGGAATGAGGGTGATGGTGCAGATGGCTTGTATCTTATATGTGCAAAGGAGCCAGTCTTAGAAGCACAAGAAAAAAGTGTGCATACCTTATTTTGTATAGATAAAGATGATGTCTTTTTGTTATTGTCTTTTTTGTATGTGTGTGAGGTAAAGAATAGAGAGAAAACATTTGTCAGGCTAATTTAACTACATTTTATTTTAAAAGTAGAGAAGAATAACCTCTAGATGGGACAGCAGAGGAGAGTTAGAGGAGGCCACAAATATTATGGGCTGCTGTGTTTTATTGTTCTAAAATCAATATGGATCTAACACATATATTTTAAGTGATCATTTCACATCTTAGGAATGCCTACTCATTTTATTTTCTTATAGTGATGTTCAATTCACTATTTAATTTATTATATTTTCTTTTCTGTGGCACTTATACAAAATATCTCTTCACCTACTTAGTTCTACAGGGTTTTAACTTTGGAGCAACCTGAATAAAATCATTGAGAGGGCCAATATTCTTTAGCAACAGGAATATACTCAAGTTGTACACATCCTGCTCAACTTTATTCATGTACATTTCCTTACTGTGTTTTTCTTTTGCTTCTTAGAAATTCTGAAGTGGTTAGTGGTTAGTAAAGAATTTCAAAGTACTTTCCCCCCTTTTTTTTTTTTTTTTTTTAAGACATTCCTTCCAGAATACTCCAGGGGGCAGTGTTTTATAACACATTTTCCCCACTGGGTGACTGAAGGATGGAGGATTTTTGAAAATTTGACATCTACATGAAACATGAGAAAACATTTTCCTCACTTCTGAAGTAGGTTTGCAGCTGGTAACTTGTTAATCCAGAAAGCATTCTAAAGCAATGAGAGTTTGCGAGCTGTGCTTACAGTTTGGGAGAATCATAAGGATTCTTTCTGTATTTTGCATTCACTAACCAGTGCTTCATAGCCACATTTTGTTTGTAAGTAAGAATTTCATAATCCTTGAATTTGGAAAAAAAAAATTGTGTTTTTAAAGAGTGAAACGGTTCCAAGTAGAACTGTAATCAGAATGCTGCTTTTATTGATATTAAAAATAACCTCAATAATAATGTAAAGGTTCCTTTCTCAGTGTCAGTTATATTCTTAGGGTTATCTTAGAAGGAATATATGGTTAGAACCAAGTGTGACCAATCATTTGAGCCTTGGAGAGAAACTTCAGTGCCTCTAAACAGATCGTCTACAAAACAACAAGTAAATATTTATGCCAGTTAAATGGGACATGTTTGTGTTTCTTGGGTTTTCCTAAATTTAAGTGAGGTTAGCCCTTACCTTATAGAGAAAATTATATTTTCTTTTTGGTAAATACTTGAACGTGGATAACTTCAGATCAGAATATTTTGTGAGGAGGTGATGGTTTGAAATTAAGCTAGATTTCTAGGGAGGTGTTCCAGTGAAGAATGGGAGGAAATTAAAATAGTCTTCAGACTTCTTCTGTATTCTATTTATTTGGTTGCTTTGGAAAAGATTGGTAGCTTACTTTCTAATCCCCCGTCTAATTTATTCACTATTAATATTTTAAAATTATTTGAGATACTTAAAAAGCCCCACTTAGCAATTATAGTCTCTCAATGAAACAATAATTTATTTATAAGTAGATTTTTCTCTTTATCTTACCAAAATCCACTTTACTTACATAACGCTAAATTGTTCTTAAAGACTACCTACTCATTTTCCAATAATCCTTTATTATTTCAAATTTTCTAGCTGCTCAGAAGTGAATTTTATTTGTCTTTTATTTGAATAAATGAGAACCCAGAAATTAATAATGTAGTTTATTGCTTGCTGTCAGGACTATTTCAAAGACTAAGAGTTTCTTCTAACTCCTCCCTCTCAAAGGAATCCTAAATTATTAGTTCTTAGATAAGTTTCGTATGCTAAGGTATTCAGGTTTATTGTTTATGTATGTGTGTATATATATAAATATATATGTGTATATAAATATTATGTTCAGTTTGGAGTCTGGCACAACTCCATTATGTGGATTAGAGAGTAAAATATTATGGATGATAAAGTACTTAATGAAACATAATATTTATTTATAAAAGTGTGTGGATTGTTAAATCACGAGAAGAGTGCTATGAGCATTATGTATGAGGAAGCAGGTCTTTGACCTCCTGGAAAGCACCGCTCAAAAGTCATTAGTGACCATTTTTGAATTCCCCAAACAGAAAGCTTCTTAGAAAACATGCTGAGATTTTATTTACAGGGAATTCTTTGACATATTTCAATTGGTGTGTAGTCAAGTATAGCAAGTACTTAATGATGACTGAATTTCACGTTCCTGGAGTCATGCATATTCATTAGAAGTTTTATGTTGTTGCTCTGATCTGATTCTTCTTTGTTTTGTGGGTGGAATGGCACTGAGAGAAGTATAGCTTTTTTAAACTTGAAAATGTTCAGTAGTTATATTGCCTTAGAAAACCGAGACACATAGTAGTGGAAATGAAAGAAATGGCATCAGAAGTGACTTAATTTAGCCATTGTGATTCCTCCTGTAAAACAAAACAGAAAAAAACAATGCCATATTTTTTTGGAGAAAAGTTGGCAATATAGGGGTTTTGTTGTCTGTTTCACAAGAAGACTCATTTGTGTTCTTTCGGGGAACCAGTGCCTTACAGATTCTGTATATATTGTAATTATTCAGGACTAGGGAACAAACAATTGTATTTGTTACAGATTGTATATGGCTTTGTTTTAACATTCCCCTAAATAAAATGGTTTCATTCTTCCCTTGGAAAAAAAAAAAAAACCATGACTGTTATCTTATAGTGGCGCTTGCTTGCTTATTTATTTATTTATTTTGTCTTTGGAAATATCACATTGTAACAGGTGGAAAGGCACAGTGAAGGAGGCAGATGCAGGTAAGTTATTCATATTTCATGGCAGGAGGACAAGAGAAACGGGCTGATGGCTTCTACTTTCTTCGTGAGGGAAACACAGTCATCTTCTGAGAAGGAGGGAAAAGCAGGGAAGTCAGTGGTTTGAGAGGAGTGAAGAAGGTTTAAAATTGCACAGGAACATCATAGCTTGCTGGGGAGAGAGCCAGATGGTCACGGGCAACTCTGAGGGCCTGGTTAGGCTTCGTGAAGGTAACTGTGGCACAGGGGCCAAGCGTAGACTCGGGACCACCAGGCGGCCTGTATGTGAATCCAGCTTCCCTCACTCCCCCAGGTGCGTGATTGGGCATGTTTTGACCTTTCAGACTCAGTTTCTTCCCCTTGAAGATGAGAATGATGTTAATGCCCACCATCTGGAGTTGTTCTGAAGATGAAAAATAATCTGTGCACCAAGCTTGTGGTGAGTGCTCAGCTATTACTATGAGTATTATCAGAGATTCATAGTGCCACTTGTGGTTTGTGGGTTTATCTTTCTGTTAGCAACACAGGTGTATAGAGACAGCAATGATGGGATTCATTCAGGGTACTGGTTCATCATGCAAATACACCAACAGGTCATGGAAAGTAAGAATTATTACTATAAAGGGGCTGATGGACCAGAGGAGGGAAGGAATTAATTAGAGGAGCTAACAGACCAATAAAAATCCCAGGTCCCAGGACAGGGAATCCTGATGGTGGTGTCTCCGCCGTTACTGAGAGAGAGTGGCTGTGGTCAGATTTCAAAGGGGAAACAGCCAGACTAAGGACAGCTGAGGGTGTGATCGCAGGAGTGGCTGAATTCAGTTCATGGACAACATGGTCGATGATGAACGAGAAACCCCAAACCTGGCCTTTAGATTTGTTGTCTTCATGGATTTTGAAGGTGGCAGTCTTGGGGAGAGGAAGGTTGTGAGTCAAAATTCTCTAGTGCCACAGGAGAGTGGGGGAGGGTTGCAGTCAGCAAGAGGCACAGAGAGGAGCTGGCAGGGCCGGGAGGCCTGGCGTGCAAAGCAGTGGGTTTTAATGCAAGGGTAATGATCTGGAATCAGCAGCGCTCTGTGAAAAAGACTGCACCCTCCTGCCAGCTGTGGAGTATTTAAGGTGTGGAAGGGTGAGGCTACTGCCACTGGCCTGAATCGTCGCCAAGGGAGTGGAGAACCCTCTGTGAAAGGGGTGGGCGTGTCTTAGGGCTGTTTTTTGCATGCATTATGGACTCTGGAGAGCAGAGTGAGAAGTTTGGTTTTGAGGGGATCCATTGGACATTGGATCAGGACCAGGGAAGCCCAAAATTGGGGAGTAAAGAGTGCAAGAAGGTGTGCATTGACACAGAGGGAATGAAGAGTTTGGGTGAGATTGCTGGTAGTTAGCCAGCTGCACTCATGTCAGAAGAGTGCATCTGGCACTGGGAATCAGACTGACCTGCTTAAAGTCAACCATTTCCTGACTTTTTTCATTCTTTGGAAGTATGTAATCTCTGAGCCCAGTCATCCCACCTGTAAATTCCCCCCTTTTAGGGCTCTTGATGAATGTCCGAAGTACGTCAGGGCCCAGGCCAGATGCATCACAGATGCTCAGAAATACTTCTTGCTTTCTCTCTCTCTCTCTCTCCCCGCCCCCTTTTTTTCTTTCTCTTTCTCCCTTTCTCCCTCTCTTTTTCCCTCTCTCTCTCGCTTTCTCTTTTCCTTTCTGCCTTTGCCCCTTTCTTTCTCACTTTCTCTTTCTCCCTCTCTTTCTCTCCTCCCGCTCCCTTCCTTCCCACTCTCCCCTCCCTCCCCACCACCGCTTCCTTCCCTTCCTTCCAGGTTTCACTCTGTCTTGCCCAGGCTGGAGTGCAGTGGCGTGATCAAAACTCACTGCAGCCTTAATCTCCTGGCTCAAGTGACTTTCCCATCTCAGCCTCCCAAGTAGCTGGGACTACAGGCAACCATCACCATGGCTGGCTAATTTTATGTTTAGTAGAGACAAGGCCTCAATATGTTTCCTAGGCTGGCCCCAAACTCCAGGGCTCAAGTGATCTTCCCACCTTGGCCTCCCAAAGTCCTGGGATTACAGGCGTGAGTGAGCCACCACGCCCAGCTGATACTGCATGTTCTTCCTGCCATGAGTTCCATTAGTTTAGCAGGATCTACAATTAGCAACATTTAAAACCAGCTGAGATTGGCTGTTGGTGCCTCTCTCCCACCTTCTCTACACCTCACTTCTGTGTGTGAGGTGGGCTCAAGTTAAACTTTTCACAGAACTCACAGGCAGATTGACAGTCAATCCCAGCTGAAGAAAAAAGGTTATTCTCTTGGCACTGGCCATTCTGTAGGTTGCAAGCTTGTTGTCTCCATCTGATCACAGCAGCAAAGTACAGATGACCGAACTCTCAGAAGTTTTGTCTCTGCAAAGTAATTTCTAACTTCGCCTCTAGGTTCTGACCTGAGCTCAGCTCTGGGGATGCCTGGGGCTGCGGAGGTTCTCCGCTTGGCACCCGTGTGCTGGTGCCGAGCCGAGCAGAGGGAGGCCTCAGAATGCCCCAGGGACCCCCACTCAGAGCCAGGGGCTTAGGCTGGGCCCTCAGTGCATGGTCGTTGAAAATGCTTGCATGCTATCCTAGGTCAGGCTTTCTCAGTCCACAGCTCCCAAAGCTTCTAATCAGGGGTGAGCGGCCTTGCAACAGGGCTGGGCCTTCGCCGCCATGTGTTTTCTGTGTCAAGCACAGGTTTTGTTGGTGGTTTTTTTGTTGTTCATTGTGTTTTCATTGTTTCACGTGGAATTCGGATTCTCTAGCTCAGCGGCAGCCCTCACTTCTCCCTCTGGTTTTACCCAGGTTCCAGTGTATGTATTTCCATGACTTCCTCAGCCTTTAAGAGGCATTTAACTTCGTGATCCCAGCATGGATTCAGTTTTAAGTCACTTTCTTCCAGGCCATGGCATGGATGGGTTTCTCAGTGCTGGGCAGTTGCTTACACCCCCCGGCCTCCGAGGCTGCGGGGAGGGGTGGCGGAGGTGGCAGTCCCTCTCCAGGCGGTCGCTCACGGAGGACAGCGCTGCCTTTGCTTCTAGTCCTCAGCGTCACAGCTGTTTTCCCACCTCACAGCGGAAGCCCTGGGCTTGCTCACCCTAAGGCAGTGGCCAGCAGCCCTGTACCAAGCTGAACTCCTCTGCTGGCAGTTGCTCACCTGTCATTTCCTACCTATTCCTATAGTTATTCGCAAACTTCATTTAAAATCAGATCTCTAGGGGCAGGGCTTGACACTCTCTTTAGAAGCTCCCGCTCCAGGGAATTCTGTGAAGTTCTAAGACATTGGTTCTCACCCTTAACTGCTCATTAGTGCTACCTGGGATCTTTTTAACACCCAAGACTCAGGCTACGCCTAGACCACTTCCATCAGAATCTCTGGAGGTGTGACCCTGGCATTAGTTCTTAAGGTTCCTCGGGTGAGTCCATCGTGCAGCTGACTTTTTAGTGGCATCATTCTAGAACCTCATCCTGTGCCTGCAGGAGGTCGTGATCACCATCCACCCAGGACCCAAAGGCTTTCTGTTCTACCGAAGAAACACGTGGCAACTCTGAACGCGCAGGAGACCCTTGTTATAGAGTGGAGGAGGCAGCACTTTGTTGCTTATAAATATAATTTATTACCTGTTTAAAAATTCTTTCTTACATTTTGTACATGTTGGCTGGCAGAATAAATGCAGGCAATTTACAAACCAAGGGGACTGCAGGAAAAATCGGGATTGGCAGCCAGGGAGAGAAAAGAGGCACACCCGGAGCTGGTATCCCTCACCTCCACCGCTCAGCAAGGCGCCCAACAGACATCCAGAGGGCACTCTGCCTCTGCCGGGGAGATTTTAGAAAAGGAATTGCATAGAAGATACAGCAAGAGGGAACTCCACAACAACAAAAATGTTCCACATCGGAAAAGCCAAGGTTGTCGTGTTTTATTTAAAAAAGAAAAATGACAAAGCACAAAACCTCAGTCCGACCTTTCTGCAGTTGAACTGTTCCCAAGGGGACAGCAGGTGGATGATACTGCCTCTTGGACACGGACTACTGGGGATTTTTCTCTGACAAACACTGGTGTCTTCTTTAGGAAGAGCAAAGAGGAAGGTCACCAACTTGCTGCAGCTCAACATTAAACTCAGCACATACAACACTGTGACATCACACACACACACACACACACACACACACACACACACACACACACACACAGTGATGATGTTTCCTGCAACTGGGCTCGATGCATTATGTCTGGAGGGCGAGGGCTGCACTACTAACAGCAGGTCTAGGAAAGCGTGAAGAGAATGCAAATCACTTGTTCCACTTGTTCTGACCGCTGTACTTTTTCTTGTCCGTGGCCTGAAGGAGTAGGCATCTGGGTTTTTACAAACACATGGACAGATGCCATTAGTTACTTTCAGAATAGAAAAGGCAAAGGTATTTTACACCAGCTGTAGATTTCTTGCTCTTACATGTCATTCTAAACAGGTTTGTTTTAACATTGAGAACATGGCTCAGGTTCCAGTTCTCTGATGCTGCCTCCATAGTGCTCAGAGGCCAAAAGAAAACTCATCAGTCCTTAGGCTGTGGATGAGCAAAACCTGCCTACATTTCCTCTTCTAAAGGCTAGTTCTGAGGATTATTCCACCCGGGGTTAGTGTCATCACGTTCTACAGCTGGTCTGATAGTAAGTACCTAGTCCAGTAGACTTTTGGAACTTAAAAATGACACATGATTTAGACATATTTGTAAGAGACCCTTAAATGGTATGACTTGCAATTTATATTACTGTTGAAGGACAAATATGAAATGTTGTGTTAAAAGGCTGGCCTTCAGTAGCAGATACTATGGCTGGTGGGCAGTTTACTGTATCTCAGGGCAGCTTCCTTGTTGCCTACTCAGAAGCTAGTTGGACCACAACTGTAATGATATTCTGCAGAGATTCCTAACTTGGGATTCCAGAAGATCTCTGGACGGGTCCCTTCAGTAGGCAAGCGTCTGAGTAGAGAGCAGGCTGGTGAAGAGCGCTAATAATTGCTGGGCTTTGTGTGCCAGTCCACTTGTGGAGTACCTGGCGGTTTTTCCTGCTGATGCCCCTGGACCATGCGAAAATAGGTTTGAGGCACACATTACATTTGGTTGAATGAGCCCATTAATATCCTACCACAGATCAATACAATGAAGTGACGGGTCCACTGGAAAACCTAGGAGCCATGAACCCTTGTGAAGACAAGCTGTTAAAGTAGCATTTATGAAAAAGGGGTAAGCAAAAGGCTGGTAAAACTAAAGGATCTGTAAGTTCATTGCTAGACCTAGTCTGCAGAGAAAACCCACCCACTGCTACATAAAGCCATCTCCCCACTATTCAGAAACAGGTTTTTCACACTAGAATTCTGGAAATATTAATGCCTTCTTTTGGCTTCCTTGGCCTGTATGGACATGGGTGGACATAACATTGGTTACAGTGTATTTGTTCCCCCTTGTGCCTTATTCCATTAAAAAGAAATCATTAGAGATGTAAAGGAAATCTTCCAAAGTGATCATTACAGCCAGAGATTATACAAATAGATCTCTCAGGGTAGAGAAACAGTACTTCATTGCACAGAGGCAAAGTTCTAAAGATTTCAGTCAACATTAGCTCAGCAAGGTTAAAGAATATATAAAAATAATACAAAAACAAAAACTGAAGAGTAATAGTTGGTCCTATGAGGCACTCGAAAGGTAAAAAAATGTTAACTTGAGATAATAAAATATTTTCCTTATTAGATCTATAAAATCTAACACTTATCAGCCATTATCTTGAGCAATGATGTTCTGCTTCACAAAAACTCCATTCTCAAAGAAGATGGATAAAGCCCCATTTCATTTCAGCTGTGTTTCCATGGGTCCCCTTTCACTCGTTAGCCTTGGGCTTGCACTGAGATCTCCATATGAAACTGATGACTTGCCCAGAACAACTGTCCAGCAAAAGCTAAGACGCATATTCAACTTGAAGACTTGAAAGCCCAACAAGTAATCCTTTCCTACCTTCTTTAAGCTCTCTTGCAGGTCCTTACATCGTTTTATATTCTCTTGGCCCCATAGGGGCAGACCTTATAGAGGCAAAGACCTGTGAATTCTGGGGAGGCAGTGATCACGTCATTAACTCCCATCTGCATGTGTGGATTACAGAGGAGTAAGCGGACCAAGAGCACAGCTGCCATGATTCTGACAGACACAGAAGGACACACGAGACGGGAGCCTTGATGCTCTTCTCCAGGAGAAATGAAAAGTCTTGATTCCTCCCTCAAAACACTGACTTTTCAGATACCTTACTTGTAGGAAAAAGTTCCTTTAAAAAATTACTGATTGCACAGTTTCGGAGTGTCCTGAACTCAGTCCTCACAACTTTTTCCCCCTAAAAATAGCTCTACTTTTTGATAGTTGAGAGATTAAAATTATAAAATAGTATATATGAAAATGGATACTTACACAGTTTGATATTGAACACCTCACCCAAAAAGTTGTTCAGCTCTTGAAGAGCCTAACTTGCTCACAGCAGGATGCGGGTTTTCTGCGTAACAGAGGTGAGTGTTCATTTGGAAGATGCTGTTTGTGAAACCGCTGTTAGCTGTGAGTACCTTGGTGTTAACAGGTTTGTCATCACCGTGCCAGTAATCAATTCTGAATCCAACTTCAGTTCCTTCCAGATATATTTAGAAAACTTGAATGGGTGTGATGGGAAGTAAATAGGATGAAACCTCTGCCTTTGATTCCCGAATTTAAGAGAAAAGAAGCTGCTTTCTTCCCCTTGATTAAAAACCCCAATTTTCTCTTCCCCATAGTATTCCATTTGCATATATAAGACTTATTTCTAAGCAGATAACTTCTTACATTTCCAAAGATAAAGGAACTAAAAGTAAGGAGATTTAAAGTATACAAACCCCAATGAAAACCATAAATGTTAAAAATGACAACTCTTCAAAGACTGTTTTATATCATAGTTCTGTTACAAAAAGCAACTTAAGATGTATATGAATGAGATGATGTACTAGGCTCACAATGACCTAATTTTGAGATGGGCGATGGAAGTGAAAAGAAAGTGAGAATAGGAATTATAATTTTAAATTTGAAATGAACATTTCCCCACATCTATTTGTCAGAAAGGTCCTTGAACGCTACAGGTTTCATTCCCTTTGTCAAGCAACTTCTAGTGAATTTAATCTCAGGGTAGATTGTGTTTCATGCCACTAGATGGCAGCATGCACAAATGATAGTTTTTTCCTATCCAAATGAAGCCAGCCAAACTTGCCTCTCAAGTGGTGTAAAAAGAAGCAGGGCATATCACATAGAATGGTGGATGCAGTGGCTTCCTGTGAAATGAACTGTTGTATCGGGACCTTCTAACTTTGCAGGCAGCCTAACAGCTATTTCTACTTTACTCCAAGGGAGAAGGAAATCAGAACTTGTAGTGAAAATTATTTGGTATAAATAGTGTTATGTATGGAAGCTGTTAAGATTCACTTGGGAGGAAACAGAAGAGTTCATCTATGACAGGTGAGTACCTCACAAGAAATAAATCACTTTTCCCTTTTCTAGTGGTAGGAGGTTGAACCAGAAAGCATCTGACGTGAACCCCAGGGGTTCTCAGTGACTTAACTAAAACAGTTACTGTTTGAGTATTTCTGTGTTGGTGACTTTTTAGTCAAAAAGTTTTTAGTAACAGTTATGGAATTGATTCATCTTCGTAGCTACATAGTTGCTCCACTCTAGTTTTACTAAGCGTAGAAGTTTGAGCATTCAGTTCAGATTCTAGTTCTTGATTTCCATAGATGATCCCACAACCTCAATACCGAAGAGTAATCTTGACAAGTTAAGTTTATTTCAAAATGTAGGAATGGACAATAGCTCTCTCTCCTCGTCCTCCTTTTTTTTAAAAAAAAGTATAATCGTGTGTGTGTGTATATATATATATATGTGTGTGTGTGTGTATATATATATGTGTATATATATATATATATATATTTGATTTTAGTTTTTTCTCATTGCTACAAACATTATCCACTGAACTTGTTTACTAGTGCAATCTCTCCCTTCCCCAGTGTACAAATATGTTAACTATGGAAATCCAAATGCAGGGGTTGGCCTGAGAGAGATTTTGTAGAATATGTGTCTAAAACAGAAGATGAGGAACAAAAAGCATGAAAGAAGAGGCTCCATAGCAAGGTACCAGCAGTCCTCAGGGATGAGGCTGGAGGAGTCATCAAGGGACTATCAAAACGCTACCAAAACAGTAGTGGAAACATGGAAAGATGGAAGAAAAGGTGCAATTCAAATCTGTTCAGCAACGTGAGTGCCTCCAGCCTAAAAGTAAGCCACAGTCATGTTCTAAAGGTTCTGATTCAAACACCTGTCTGCTTGTTCTTCAGTTTTGGTTTTGCTACTGGGCTTTGACTCTTAATCCCCATCTGCTGAATGAATTGAGTCCTTATGTTAAAGAGCTTGTGATGGTCCCAAGGAGACATAATAGTTTACGCAAAGTAGTGTGTTGACTAACATTTTACAGGATAACATTTTTAAAAAGAGCCAATTAGAAAGCCTTTATACATACTACTCAATATTAGAACAGCAAAAGGTTAAGGTGAGGGGGTGGGTGCATAGTAAAAACTCACCAAGTTCCTACTGCCAGATAAACTTGTAGGAGTGGTCTGGATATCAGGATGCCAAGACAATAGTAAACTAGAATTTGCAAGCAGTCAGGAAGGCTGGGAATGGGGGTGTCCCAAGAAAGGCTAAGAAAATAATAAAGGGCTGCCATCTCTCAGTGGACTGCAATAATGCAATGATGCAGAGCGACTCAAGCCAAACATATTGCAGGTAGGAATAATCACCTCCCATGTCAGAACTATTCGAAAGGCATAACAAAGCCTGGGCAAAAGACCAGCTGATTATTTTACATGATCTAGGTCAGAGGGTATTGTGGTCTTCAGACTGATGAATGAGACTGGAGGCATCGTGGTGGAAGTTTAGCATTTCAGAACCTTGAGATCTAATCCCACCCCTCCACTTCCTAGGTGAGGAGACTGAGTTCCAGTGTGGTTAAATGCCTTTCTCAAGGTGGTGCGAGGAGACAGTGACAGACCCACAGTGAGAACTGGTTTCCTGATCTCCAGTTCCGAGTCCGTTCCTCTGACCACACTGCCTCTGAAGCGGACAGAGCACCATGGGGAGTCGACGTGGGGCCACACAACAGCAGTATTAAGTGAACTGAACAGAGAACACATCTCATGGAAAGACTCAGAGGAGAAAGGCTCTGCTTGAGCAAGCGGAAGGAACAGACTGACAAAGCCAGTGAGCATTGATCACTCTCCTGGGTGGAATGAGGGGAGGGAAGGAAAGGTCAAAGGTCAGGGAACCAGAGCAGGTTGAATTGAAATGATGACCATACCCACCTTGATAGGTGAGAAGGTGGGGCAGGTCTAGTCAATACCCAATACTAACAGTACTGCTAACAAAAATAGAAGTTAAAAGAAAATCCTTTTACTAGAATACCTGTAAATACTCATCAATAATATGATACCTTTTTTTAAAAAACACTTCATACTGCATATTATAAACACACATGTTGTGAAAAAATGCTTGAACATGAACCACTGTCTTCCCTGCAATGCTACAGCTTTACTCTCAAAGGGCACCAGAAGGGTCCCTCCAAGGAATAGGAGTCTTAGTCAGTTATTTCTTTTTTATACTTAGATTCTCCACTTCCCTGATACAAACAGTAACACTGGTTCTACAAGTTCTAGAAACAGAACACTGATGGGAAGATTATCTGAGACACTTGATGCACACAATTTGTACCAAAAGTCTGTGATTTCTCTGTAAATTACTAATCTGAAATAGACACAACTAACCGTCCACAGCTTCAACTTCAAATGATTTGAACAAAAATAGAACGAGCCATGGACAGTGTCTGCATCCCTGTCCAATTTGATGTAAACAACATTTGTAGAAATTGGGTTTGTTAAGAAAGTTTATCCATATATCTGGATAGCAATAAAAAGCGTTTCCTAGGAAACTGTAAGATCCTGTACCACAAAGCATACAGCCCAACTAAGAGGAAAATTAGGTTGATAGCTAAATTCAAGGTACAAATTTACACAATTTTTCTCAACTCCTGTGCTGATGTCTGAGTACAGTGGGCATGTACATTGGCAGTTGTATCTGTTTTCCTTCTGGCTGCTGCAGCCTTGCCTGTGAAGCGCATTGGTCTTGTCTGGATTTCCTCCTCAGCTGTGATTCCCCTGGATGGCCACAGACCCCCTGTGCAGTGTCGTCCTTCATGTCCCCTTCCAGCGTGGTGGTTAATACTGCCCTTCTGCTGCTAAGGACACCACTGTTTCATGTCTTCCCATTTCTTCCAAGACAGCTGCCAGCATGCTCAGGTTTCCATCTGGGAAGTTCTGTGCTTCCCAAAGATCCAGGATTACACCAGTTGGGCTGGATTTGGTGGCAAAGTAATTCAAGTACCTGTAATTGGGAAACAGAAAATGTGCTGACCGGTGTGACTTACATATCTGTTTTCTCTTGTTTTTTTTTTTTTTTTTTTTCTTCTTCAGCTAAACCTTTCTGTCTCTCTAGTTGTTCTTAAGCATCCTGGTTCCATTGTGGTTGACGGTGAGCCATCCCAAATAAATAACTAGCTCATGCTGAATTAGATCAGCCTCAGACAGGAGAAGCGATGTTTAACTTTGTTAACCTCAACTCTGAATGAGATAATTTAAGAGACAAGATGTCTATGGGTCATATTCTAAATAGGAAATCAAGAGACTTATATTTTCTTTCTAGTCCAGGCTTGCATAATCTTTGACAGGTCATGCCACATGTTTTGTTTGGTAGTGATGGTGACAGTCCACAAAGTAGAGGCTCCAGAGGTCTCTTTATAACTTATTATCAATGCTGTGTTAGCATGCTAATTGCGAATCAAACATTAGGTCCTGCTCAACTACAGATAAGTAACAGTAATTACTGTAGTGAATGGTTCTGCGATTTGGGGAATTTAGCCCCTCAGCTTTGCAAAGTGGATTACAAAACCTGATATTTACCAATGTCAAGTAAGCTCAGAATGTCTCTTAGCACTCTTTGCAAGCCCGTAGTGCAAGGTACAAGGACAGAGCTTAATGCATATTTGCAAAATGAAAAATTAAATAGATGTGTAGATGGAAAGAAAAATGCTAGCCTATGTCTCATAGCTATCAATTCTGGAGAGCTCTAACACAAAGAAACTAGTCCTGGGGCCGGACCATACCCACCTGTCCAGGTTTAGCTTATGGGCCAGCATCCTCCAGTCATGGCCTCTCGTCTGGGGGGCATCCAGGCTGCTACAGAGCTTCTGCCGGATAGGGAGAGGGATGCTGAAAGCACTGGGCCCCGTGACGGTGGTGATGGTGTTAGCAGGGTCCAGCAGCGGCAGATCGATGCCAGTAGGTTCCTGGAGTTCAGGGATAGGAACAACACAGCATTATTTCTGCAGACAAAAGCAATCTCTATTTGTTAATGAATCATCATAATGCCTTGCTTTGAGCGATAAGAAAAGAATGAGTGCTGTTATACTCCTTAGGAAGAATGGCGTCTTCCTAGCCTGAAAGTTGTGCATCACTAGATGTAACCTGGCTCAGAGAAAGAGGTACATATATTTTGAGCTAACTTTTCATAGCCTTAGATTTATGGGTCTTAGGTGAGGACTGGGCTGGATGGGAAGCTCTGGTGTGATTCAGTCACAGCTTTACTAATGGGATTCTCCAGGATGAGAGAAAAGAGAGGGAATATCAGAGCTCCTCATGGTTTAAATTTCAGGAAAGGAAAATGTTCAAAAGGGCAGTGCTTTTGAAAGGAATCGATAACGAGATCAGGGCTTCTGGAAAGGGCCTGACTTTGTGGGGAATGTCCTGGGTAAATGCCCCAGTTCTCCCTCTAAACTCCACAGAAGATATCTCAGTTCTGCTTTTGTTGAGCGAAATGCAACACAGCTCTCCTTTAATAATATCAACTTAAGGCTAATTTTTTAAAAAATAAAATGGTAAACACAGTATATTATTGCCTTAGGGCAAGATTGTTAATGGCATCTTCTAATTGCTGTATATCCTTATTTTTTAAAAATCTAATTTTAGTAGAGAAAACCATACATTGGCTCTTAAGATATTCTCAGCTCATAAAACAGCACAGATGCAAAATCTGAATTTCATCGCAGGAGAAATTCTAATCATTTTCTGATCACTTCTGCTGGTTGGAAAAGCAAAGCAAATGTTGCCTGGGAACTATTAAAGCAATAAAAGAAAACCTACTTAATCTACTATAAATGCCAGCTCTCTCTTTTTTAAGCAGGTAACTTGATATTGCCTCACTCGTGGCCAGAGGACGAACTGGCCACACCCAGTTTCAGCCATCATGAAGTGTTTGGCTCCTGCTGAGCACTCAGCTCAGGGGCTCAACACCACCATCACTCAGAGCCCCCCAAATGCTGCCCGGCACTGCTGCAGTGGCCTCCCCAGCCCTGGGTACACTGGTGCTGCAGTGGGTGGGGTTGCAACTGCCTGTGTGCTAGTGTTGACTAGCAGTGTGTTCCATGTTCTGCGATCAGAAGCACGTGCTCACTTCTAGGCTTATACATGGCACAGGGTCCATCTGGGGGTGCGGAGGACATTTGAATTCTTTTGCCATGGTATACACAGTGGTGTTGGCTATGATCATATTTATTTGTCCTCAAAACCCAAAGCTTGGCAAACTGGGGCTCCAAGCATTCCTCTGGCTCCTTTGTGTTGGCACCAGTACATACATACCAGGATTTAAAGGACTATGACATGAACAGAGAGTCAGAGGCCCTGAATGAGGGTCACGGCCTGCAGCTCTTCCTCCATCAGGCACATTCCCTTTCCAAGGGAATGAGAAAAGAGTGTTCCTGACATCTAGCGGAATAGGGCTCTAAGAAAGGTGACCATAGAGTGATCTGAGGGCATGTGTCATGTTTCTCAATGGATTTATGTTTGGGGCATCTGGACTAAGTGCCTCATTGCCTCTATGTATGGAGTGGAGGGCATAAGTGAAGATGGTACAGACAGGAAAACAGGGAAATACTAAGTAGAAGAGGGCATGTCCCAGCAATGGCCGCACCCTCAAGCCTGAAGACCTCTAGCCCTAAATGAGGACAGGCATTTCTGTTTTTATGTCCAAAAGTTGCCTTTTGGCCCACCATGGACCTTATCCTGGCCCCCTATAAACCCCAATCCCCAAGCTCCAGATGAGACCCACAAGCAAGGAGATGAGAAGGCACACAGAGCAGCAAAAGAACAATGATTAAAACACCAAAAGCAATGACAGCAAAAGCCAAAATACACAAATAGGGTCTAATTAAACTCCAGAGCTGCTGCACAGCAAAAGAAACAATCATTAGAGTGAACCGGCAACCAACAGAATGGGAAAAAATGTTTGCAATCTACTCATCTGACAAAGGGCTAATATCCAGAATCTACAAAGAACTAAACAAATTTACAAGAAAAAACCCCATCATCAAAAAGTGGGTGAAGGATATCAACAGACACTTCTCAAAAGAAGACATTTTATGCAGCCAGCAAACATGAAAAAAGTTTATCATCACTGCTCATTAGAGAAATGCAAATCGAAACCACATTGAGATACCATCTCATGCCAGTTAGAATGGTGATCATTAAAAAATCAGGAGACAGCAGATGCTGGAGAGGATGTGGAGAAATAGGAATGCTTTACACCGTTGGTGGGAATGTAAATTAGTTCAACCATTGTGGAAGACAGTGTGGCGATTCCTCAGGGATCTAGACCTAGAAATACCATTTGACCCAGCAATCCCATTTCTGGGTATATACCCAAAGTATAATAAATCGTTCTGTTATAAAGACACATGCACATACGTTTATGGCGGCACTGTTCACAATAGCAACGACTTAGAACTAACCCAAATGCCCATCAATGATAGACTGAATAAAGAAAATCTGGCCATGAAATACTATGCAGCCATAAATAAGGATGGGTTCATGTCCTTTTCAGGGACATGGATGAAGCTGGAGACTATCCTTCTCAGCAAACTGACACAAGAACAGAAAACCAAACATCACATGTTCTTACTCATATGTGGGTGTTGAACAATGAGAACACATGGACACAGGGAGGGAAACATCACCACCGGGGCCTGTCGGGAGGTGGGGTGCTATGAGAGGGATAGCAGGGGGCTGGGGAATAGGGGAGGGATAGCAGGAGGATAATACCTAATGTAGATGATGGGGTGATGAATGCAGCAAACCACCATGGCACGTGTAT